TATAAATGGAATCATAGAGTGTGTTCCATATCTTCCTTCTTTCATTCAATGTTTAGCTTATAAGATTTTTAGTAATTCATTCATTCATTCTCATTACTATATGGTATATTATTATATAAATACTAGAGGCCCAGTGCACAAATTCATGCACAGGTGGGCCTGGCTGGCCCAGCTCCAATCTGCAGATTGGGGCAGGGCCTGTTGGGAGGAGGAGATGGTGGGAGGTTGGCCGGCTGGCTGGCCCTGATTGGGGCCCAATCAGGGCCGAGTTGAGTGTGGGGAGGGGCCATGGGTGATTGGCCAGCAGGCCCTGCTCCCAATTTGGGTGGGGGTGGGGGCGAGACAGCCATCTAGAGGGGCTGTAGGCAGTGGGCCAACTGGCCCAAAGAGAGAAGGTCCCAATGCCTCCACAACTGTTTTTTTTTTTCTTTTTCATTTATGTCACTCTGGTGTTTATCACTATTCCATTATGGTTCTTAACCTTACAAAAGTAGAAAAGAATAACTAGTTTTATTAAATTATATTTTACTTGAAGTATCTTAAATGCTCTTCTTTGAATTACTTTTCCTTATTTAAATGATACATAAGATTAATGATCCTGACTTATTCAATAATATACTAGCTTGGAAAGGGATTCTTGATCAATCATAATTCTGATCAATTTTACATTTCCATGTTATTAACTATGATATTTAAAAATGAAAAATGAGCAATTCTTACATTAATGTGAAACAACATTTCTGCATGTTAAAAAGTTACTTCCGTGGCCTAATAAACCAAGATGTGAACCAGTAATCGTTTATTTAAAATTAAGAGATGAATCTCAGTTTCTATTGCTTGTATTATGTCTGTGTTTCTAGAGAAACATAGAAAAAAGTTATGGCAAACTTGCAGTCTGTTAGTTTCTTTTCACCCTGCCAGAAACTGTCATTTCACTCTTTAGCTAGTAATATACAACTGTTCGTTGAAGAGATTTTTGAAGAAAATAGCATCTTTCTTCTTAATTAGAATCAGGGACACCTTTGAAAAAATAGTCACAGCAAAATGAAAATAGTAATAATAATAATGATAATAATAATAATAATATAATACTACCAATAAACAGCAACAACAATGTTTTGCACCAAGCTAATTGTATCTCTAATTTATATTAGTTGGGTTCAGGAATTTTCATTACTAATTATTTGAGTGGTTGCATTTTGGAGCTCACATTTACTGGGTTCATATCTTTGCTGCACACTTAACTAACAGTGTTGCCTTGCGAAAGTTACTTACTAGTAACCTCTTCAGATCTCAGACCTGTAGGATGGGAATAATTATAGAAGGTATATTATATGTTGTATTAGTTTGGGTCCTCCAGGAAGCAGATGCCAAGAAGAGATTAAACACAAGAGGATTGTATTAAGGGAAAAGTCTCTGAGAGAAAATGAGGGGGGGAAAAAAACTGAGTAAGTCTGGAAGACCTAGCTGTTGGTCGAGACGCAAGAGTGACCCAGAGTGAGGGAGTGGAGGACAAGGTCGAGGGGAAGTCTTCACCATGTTGCTCAGTCTAAGGAAGGGTTAGCGAGAGCTTTAGGAAATCCTGAGCCAAAGCTGGCCATCAGAGGAGGCCTGTGTCTTTCAGTGATGGAACTGCTTTAGAATCCCTGCTGCACTCTGTCATTGGTTGGGGCAGTTGCAGAAATGGATTTTAGAAGGAAACAGCAGTGCTTTTTAGGCAATTAAACGTCCTGTACTTAGAGGTCTTGAGGCACATTCTCATGGTCACAACAAATGATTATCATGAAGATGAATTGGCAAACTCCCAAGAAAGTAATTAAAACAATATCTGAATCAATATTTATTTATCAATTTATTTATTCATATTATTCATCATTACTAATAATCACTGAATTAATAAAGGAGACACATGTTCAATCTGCTTGAAATAGCTGACAGAGGTGTTGAAAAGCCTGCTGTTTACAGTTTTCTTCATTTTTCCTAACTAAGAATATTATTACACATTTATATCATATGAATAATTATTTCCCTTCTTTTTATTTCCCTATTTATTGCCAAGTCCCTAATGCATAGTGGAATACCAAACTCTAACCCCCAGTATTGCCAAATCCCTAATGCATAGTGGAATACCAAACTCTAACCCCCTGTATTTCTGCATAAATAATGGGTTCAATTGTTTTAAAAATAAAAAGACCTGCCCTTGTTAGGTGGTTCAGTTGGTTGGAGCTTTATCTTGTACACCAAATGATTGTGGTTTCAATTCCCGGTTGGGGCACATATGGGAGGCAGCCATCTCTCTCTCTCTCTCTCTCTCATCAATAAACATATCCTTGGGCGAGGATAAACAAATTAAAAATACAAAGACGTATTAATAGAATTATGTTTGTTATGTCCAATTGATAATATCAAAGAGTTTCATCATTTATCATCATTAGAAGGACATAATTAGGAATTGTTTGATCCATTTTTTAAAATTGGTCATTGGGTGTGCATAATCATGGGAAGAACTCCATTTGAAACTCCTTTTGTAAGGCCATTTTCTCAACAGTGGAAACTCCTTTTATCTCTTTAAAGAATTTTCATGGCATTAGAAAATTCAGAGGGCATATGTGAATAATTGCAAATGGAGGAAAGAAAAATTACAGTAAAAGTCATGTGAAAATGTTGAAAAGTCTGTGAGGCCACTTTATTATGATACTTGAATGTAAGCAAATTTATCCAGAAGAGAATCTTAAACATAGAGGATGGACTCTTTAGGGCATGACCTCCAATCTCCTTCTTTTGCTCATTTTACTCTCCCTTTATATGTAGAAGCCTACTTATTCTTTCCTTTGTGCATCAGTCATGTGCGAACCCGGGACCTTTCAGTCCGCAGGCCGACGCTCTGTCCACCGAGCCAAACCGGTTTCGGCTCTAAGACCTATTCTTACCATAATATTTTGAGGGCCACCTCAAGTTACAACTTCTTTAGTTCTTCCCCACATCATCTTAGTCCAAATAGACATCTCCATATGCTCAATGTCTGCTAGCTGTGTTATCCCTAAGTGTCACTTGATATATGCTGTTCCTTCCAGCTTTCCCCTTGGCGTACTGAACATCTCAGTCATTCCTCATGTTGCACTATAACTGTTTTCTTGTCCTTATACTGCACCACACTGTCAGGAAAGTAAGAATGATTACACTGCTGGAATCTAGTAGGTATTTTTCTTTCCTCATTCTATTTTTTCTTCTTTATTGATTATGGTATTACATATGTGTCCTTATCTCCCCATTGCCCCCCCCCCCTGTACTCATGCCCTTATCCCCCTGGTGTCTGTGTCCATTGGATAGGTTTATATGCATGCGTACAAGTCCTTTGGTTGATCTCTGCCCCTTAACTCCACCCTCCCCTACCTTCCTTCTGAGGTTTGATGGTCTGATCGATGCTTCTCTGTCTCTGGATCTGTTTTTGTTCATCAGTTTATGTTCATTATATTCCACAAATGAGTGAGATCATGTGATATCTTTCTCTGACTGGCTTATTTCACTTAGCATAATGCTCTCCAGCTCCATCCATGCTGTTGCAAATGGTAAGAATTCTTTCTTTTTTACCGCAGCATAGTATTCCATTGTGTAGATGTACCATAGTTTCTCTAATCCAATCATCTGCTGATGGACTCTGGTTTCTCTTCAGATCACATAAATCTTTCACCTTTACTAGTAGGTATTTTTAAAATATAGTAAAATGTAATGAATGCATGTATGAATGAACAAGTTAATTGATACGTTATATTCCCAGAGAGATAATCAGCATTGTGAGACAAGCATTGAGTCTTATACCTTCTTATGATCCCAGTCACCTAGTACAGGATTTGAATATTGTAGGAGGCACTTAATACATTTTTGTGACTGATGAGTTTAAATATTTGTATGAATACCTGATTTAAATTATATGATTGTCATTTTGAAGAGGTAGTGACTTGCCATGAATTTCACTGCTTGTGCAATCGCTTTTTATACAACACTAGAGGCCCGATGCATGAAATTCGAGCAAGAGTAGGCCTTCCTTCCCCCAGCTGCTGGCACTGGCTTCCCTCTGGCACCTGGGACCTGGGCTTCCCTCTGGCCACTGGCACCCAGGACCCAGGCTTCCCTCGCAGCCCCAGCTTAGTCAGGAAGATTGTCTGGAAGGATGTCCGGTCTAATTAGCATATTATGCTTTTATTGTTATAGATGATTGGCTAGACCAGGGGTGGGCAAACTTTTTGACTCGAGGGCCACAATGGGTTCTTAAACTGGACCTGGAGGGCCAGAACAAAAGCATGGATGGAGTGTTTGTGTGAACTAATATAAATTCAAAGTAAACATCATTACATAAAAGGGTACGGTCTTTTTTTTTTAGTTTTATTCATTTCAAACAGGCCAGATCCGGCCCACGGGCTGTAGTTTGCCCACGGCTGGGCTAGACTCTTGTAGTTCACCATTAGGTGAACCTTGGTAAAAGCAGATTGCACTTTCTCTTTTTGCAAAACAGTGTGCCTGTATTATTTGTTTACTTATAATAATTGTGATTTTCACTTATGCAATTGATATACATTTATAGTTCATTTGTAGTGTAATATGTAAAAAAAATATTGGGACTTATCATATACTGTGTAAAATGAAGTAAATTGACCCAGATAACATGGATTCAGACATAGTGTAAGTCAGCAAGAATTGGTACCAAGGTGAAATGTATATTAACTTTTTCTAGCATATTGGTAAGTAATATTAAAAAACACAATTAATTTTTGGTTGTGTCCTTTGAGGGTAACGCATTAAAATAATTTACATTTCCATGCTAAACATTCTTCCAGGAAAAGCACTGCAATCTCTACCAGGTTCTGTTCCAAGAAAAAAATACATTGTTGTATACTCTCAAAGGAGTGATATTCTGAACTCAAATCTGTTCAAATAGTTGTAGCAGATAATACTCTGACCAGGTTACTAAGCCATATATCTTTCGCTGTTCACTTTGTTAGTTATACTCAGCGTGTGGTTGGAAATGGAATCAAAGCCCAGTCTGGGAATCCTGAAGTCAAAGTCAAGGGAACTGATCCTGTGATCAATCAGATTATTGATAAACTGAAGCATGTTATTCAGGTAAGTTCTGGTCCTCTCTTATTGGTATTCTCAGTGGTAAATAATAAGTGGTTGCTTTCCATTGCATGTGATAAACTTGTTAATCCTATCTGATAATACTACCTACAATTGAGTACTGGTTTAGAAATATTTGGTTGAGTGGTTTTTCAATGTGCTACAATATTTTAATGGGTGGGCCTTGACTTACGAGTTTAATTCGTTCCGTGACGGAGCTCGTAACTCAAATTACTCCTATGTCAAATCTTAAAGTGAACGAGTGAGACACGTGATGCTGGGCTGATGTTGTGGCATTCACTGTGACATTCGCTGCTCCAACTAGCAGTGGGGTATCTGAAGCTGGCTCGTAACCCAAATTTTAGCTCGCAAATCGGCTGAGAGACGGCTCGTATCTCGAAAAACTCCTTAGTCGGGACACTCATAAGTCAAGGCCCCACTGTATTCTAATAAATAAGGAGACTTTCAGGATGAGCTTCATCTCCAATAATAAGCTTTAGACACTAGAACAACTGACTTTAAAGAAAACACATAGCAGAGCATGGGAGATGCCAACCTCACCTTCCAGGTAAGTCTCTGAGCCTTTCTATTAAGGCTTTTTGCCACATTTTCAGCAAAAGTTGTCATAAATGAAAAAATATGCATTTCTTGTACTTATTTTCAGTCACCTTTAATATGTTATTGCATATTCTAATTGTTTATGAAATACTTGTTTTATACTTAATAATGTTATTCAACCTAATGAACAATACTGCATGTGAACAATATATGGCACAATATATATCAAATAATATTTCATTGAACTACTCTATCAGTCAGAAATAAATATTATGTTACATGCTATAAAGACTACCCTTCATTCTACATCTATTGGGGTTTCAGGTGAGAAGGACTATTTTTTAGTTATTGGTCTTCATATAACAATTTATATATGCACATTTTTCTAAGCAAAACTGTGTATGTACAGTTGATACTTCTAGCATTATATTATTATATATCTGAAACTATACTTAAACATAATACTGAGTTTTTATTGATATTACAGTATTCTAGAGTCACTGGTATGTTTCTCATGATTGTTCTGTAAAATTTAAGTTTAGGTGGAGCCAGTTCTTATAATCCTATTTTTATCAGAGTCTCTGTATCTTGAGCAAAGTTTATATAAGTAGGGCATGGTGGCCTGTGTCCAAAACCATGGATTTCTACCATCCAGGTGTCAATAATAATGGCTACTTTGTTTATTTCATGACTGTTACATTAGGAAAATAGACCTCTCCCCTGGGAGGCAGAACCAAAAATAACTTCCTTTGAGAAAAATGTAAGAGCAAATGATGTCACAACTACTAGTGAGTCAAACCTCAAGGCCTCTAGTGAATTAAACCAGTTCTCTCAGAGACAAATGTCCAAAGTAAGGCAAGTTGGTAGGTGCCTTACACTTCCAGTGGGCCAAGTGCTGAGACATTTCTTGGAAATGAGTAATCTTGGGATTGGGTCAGGAGCTCAAGTGATAGTGAAGGAGGGGCCAGAGTGAAGAGTAGGCGCTTGACCAGAAACTGAGGCAGAATGGCTGAGGTCAGTCTGGAGAAAGCCTGCTGCCCTCAGCAGCAATGACATTAAGTCCATCAGGGAATATTACTCAGGAACTCAGGAGGAGGGAGTTCATTCTTCTTGCCAAATTTTTGAAACCTTGCTTCTCATAATGAGAAAGACAGAGTCCAGTTAAAATTAATTTTGACTCAGTAAGAAATGAATGAGGGTTTAAGAAAACTTAGAATATTGCATTAATTCTTGAGTTTCTTGGTGGCTCAATAAACAATGTATTTGGAACTTGACATATAAGCAAACTAGATTTCTAAATCTATGTGTCATTGTTGGGGTTCCCCAGGAAGGGGCTCTGGGACATAGAACATAGATTTGCATACAGGAGATCTATGGCAGAGTACCTTTGCAATATGTGAGGGACTGGAGGAAGTAGGACTGTGCAGAGGGAGCAACTGTACTGTATCTGTAACAGAAGCCTCATCTGAATCCAGTAGGAACTCTGGAACTGGAAGGGCCCTTTCAGATTGTCCTGAATTGAGACAAGGAGTTGTGTCTTTATCCCCCCAGTTGAACCTTCATTGGATAAGGGCTACTGGGTGGATGGTGGTAGTATTAACTCAGTTCTGAGTCATCAGCAGCCAACAGTATTATCTGAGCTGAAGGAAGAAATGCCTTGGTCTAGGTGGCACCCCATGGCATCATGCAATATAATATGGTATGTAGATCAAGCTTATCCAAAAAGTCTAATGCACAATTCATCATAAAATCAGAAGAGCTGAATATAATCTGCTCCTCTCAATGAGACACAGTAAATTCACAGTAGTCTCTACAGTGGGGTAAGCATTCCCCAGAGAGTGCACAAGCTGATCCACAGGAGGTCTGGAGGGAAAGATAGAACTTTTTGTGTAGTGTATGTATTCTATATCATTCTGTTAACTTTTTTTGGTTGTAGGAATGGGTATTAAATGTGTAACAGTGCAATAGCACATGCACATAGTTTATAAATACAGAAATATATGTGTCAGGTGGTGTGCATCCCAACTATTTGATGGAACATATGACATGATGAAAACAGATGGAATGCCCTGCTATAGGTAATAATGATGGAGTTGCTATAGGGGAGCGTGTATGATATAAGAAAACACATTCACAAAGAAATAAGTAGATACCCAAAGGATAGGGGTTATAACAACTCTCAGGAGAAGGGTTCACTGATGTGACCCATTCAGCATAACATTTTCCTCTTCTTGTTTCACAGATTTCAAAACCACCTCTTTGTAAAGGTGACAAAGGGAAACAATCTCATTTTCTAAGCTCCTGTGTTAAATTGAGTCCCGTTCTTTTATCTTAATATTAGTGTTAAGATCTCCAGTTGTTCATACTTAAGCTTTATTCTAGGGCTACAAGAAAATGCTACCTTTGAAGTCTACCTTTTAAAAGTCTACTAGGATGATCTGATTGAAATTTAGATTTTTACAGAAGATAGCAAGAAGTCTAGTTTGTACAGGTATCACTAAAATATTCACCTTAAAGTCTTAGAACATGTTCTTCCCTAAGCCAGCTCTCCTAGAGATGAAGAGAAGTTTTTGATTTTACCAGAGTTCTGACTGCTGATCATATGTGTGTCCCCTGGCAGGGGTGGCTATTGTACTGCCAATTTTAAGGGATAGTTAAAAGGACTCACCACAGTGTCAAGTGTGAAAAGGCTCAGAAAACTGTGTCCTATAAGTGAGAATTTATTAATTGGGAGTCAGTGTGTGACAAGGGAGGAAGTAGAAGTTGGAATATATTTCATAATATATTCAGACTTAGGTGGTTCCTTGTGTTTGTGGTAAAAAATGAGTTTATATTTTATTGTAAGGGATATTAAGTGCATTTGTTAAAGTGTACCAAGAAAATATCATCTCTCATCATAGGGATAAGCAAGTGTCCCTCTTGTCCATTTTTTTCATATATAAGCATATGGAAATAAGCCAGCCATGTTTATTAGCAAAAATTGGCTTCATACATTAGCCTCCAAATACTTTTCTTCTTGAACCGACATTGACCTGCACCTCATTTGCTACCCTGTAACCTTTGCAATTAGAGTCACCAAACAAGTGGATAGGGGTTTCACTTTGTAAATGCCACTTTTTAAATGTCCTTTTAGCTCATTTATTCAAAATATTCAACTAATACTTATGGAGGTCCCACCGTGGGCCTGGTCCTGCATAGGGCATTGAGGTGAAAGAGGTAAACAAAGCAGACACAATCCTACTCTCATGAGTTTGCATTCTAAGAAAAATTAAACAAACACCAACTAAAAATGCAGCTGACAAATATACAGGAAACAAAATGGGATGAAGTGGGGAAAGGTACTTGAGAAGACTGTGCTAGTGGAGGCCAAGCAAAGGGGGGTGGTTGGGTTGATACTGAATGAGGAAATAGGAGAGGAAGAAAGAAATCACTGGGAAATCTTGGAGAACTGTGTTTGGGGCAGAGGAAATAATAAAGGACCTACTGCACAGATAGGTTTACTGCATTCCGAGAGCAAACAAACCCATTGGCTGGAACATACTAAGTGAAGGAAGGAGACAAATGCAAACTGGATTGAGGAAGTCTGGCAGGGAGTTTAGATTTTGTACTAAGTTGGGTGGGAAACCATTAAAGACTGTGGAAAGAGGATGATACAAGTTAATTACTGTATTATAAAAATAATTTTGGCTTCACTATGGAAAATGGACCTTGAAAGAGCAAGAGTAGAAGAAAGTTATCCAAGCAGATCATGGTGATTGAAGTTAGAATAAGAGTGGATAATATGAGCAGTGGATAGGTTTAGATTTAATGGAAAGTGGAGTTACCAGAAATGGTGATCAATTGGAAATTGAGGTGATAGAAAGAATAAGAATAATATCTAGGTCTGGTGGGATAATTGTTTCAGTAAGTAAAAAAAAAATCTTGGGAGTAGAGCAGGACTGGGTTTTGCTCATTGAGGTTGATTAGAAATTATGGTTCTGTTACACTTGAGATGCCTTTTAGACACTGAAGGGGGCATCCAGAATTCAGTGGTGACCACAGAGCTGGAGGTATACATTTGGGAGAGATAGTTTCCAGCTGCTTCCTGCATTCTAAAGCCTGGGCTTGAGGTGGGCAATGCTTGTACCTTTCAAAATTACCTGTGATAAATATGGTATAGTCAGTAGCCAGTGAGGAATTTTCTAAAGGGTTAACATGAACTGTCTTAGATGTCTGCATCAGACTGAATTGCCCTTTGATTATACATTGGAAATAAAGCTTGATTACTCTTAGTTCATGACTGAGGGAATGTATGAACATTTTAATTCAGATTTTCACTCCTATTAAACTAATTTTGAAATGTATTTTCATGACAACTAAGTTTGTTTAGGGCAAAGTTGTCAGCAAAAACGTCACAGCTATGCAGCAATTTATCTTTAGGCATTAAATAACACCTATTATTTTTCAAA